TATGAAGATAAACAATCATTCCGTGAATACGAAAATCCTGCAACACAGAGACAAGAATATGTGTACAAAGAATATTTGTACTAATGAGTTTGGGGCTACAGTCTCTTTACAATTTGAATCCTATAATTCCATCTCCAAACATGTAAAGTGTGTATGTAGGGGTTGTTGTTCCTAAGGTCGCGTTGACTTGATCTTGGATGAACGATTGCCTCAAGGATTTGGCTTGTGGTGAGGAAAGAACCGGCACGTGTGGTGGTGGTTGATAATTCTTCAAGGGTTTTGGAGAAGAATGTAGAGGGCTTTCTGAATTCTTCTAATTTTTTTAGAGTGCTTGGCGAGTTTGAATGCTTGGGAGATTTAGAGTTTCAAAGCTTCAGCTTTTAGGCATGAAATGATTTCTAGACCTTTTCTTTGTCTTGGAGCCTCCTATTTATAGACTCACTAAGCTTTGTCTATGGATGGATTTCGCCTTGGTTGTAGGCTTGATTAATTGACGAATGAACCAGGACTCAATTTGTGGGCCGATTCGTGATTTGACTCCATCAAGCTATCAATCGTTTTAGTGTATGGCTTGGAGTACATCAGTGCATCCCACGAAGTGCCTCCGTACTGCACTGATGTTGTTTATGATCATGTCCTTAAGTTTTTGGACGGAAAAAGAGCCTGTTGATGTAGCTTCAGACTCTTGCTTTTGTCTCCCTCCAGCCTCGTTGACATGACGCGCCTCCTCTTCGCCAGACTCCTCATCATGCCAATTCTTGTACGGATTAAGGTGGACTTCTCTGTCATGTTGCGACTCCAACCTACTCATGAGCGTTGCGGTCTGCATGTCCTTCTCCTCGACAGTCCTAGTCAACTTTGTGAAATGTGCGAGTTGTTCTTCAATGAAGGTAGCCCTAGTAGTCATAACATATGTAGCCAAAGGATGAGACTTTTTAGCAGACATTGAGGGCGTCAACAAAATCTCTTTGTGATGGTCATTCTCTTGTGATCCGTAGTATGATCTCGTACTTGAGTTGTGTCTGAAGCAGTTGACCAATGCCACTCCCTCAAGTTCTTTGAAGATGAAATCTCGCTCGCTGTTTTGGGATGTCATCTTGCGTGCCACACCAGAATGCTTTAGTGCATCCAGCGAGGCCAGATAATATTTAACTTCATTAGTTAATATTTGATTAAATTAAATTAAAATTAAATAAATCAATTAATTCCTTTTCGTCAAGTGATGACTTGATGACTCATCCGATTTTGCTGAGTCACATCCATGTGTACGATTTGTGAGACATACGGCTCATGCCAAGTATGCCCTGGCATGTAGAAACTTTAATTGTGTTGTGACCATTTATTCACCGAAATTTCGATGTCCACAAATGTCCCCACTTCAAGGCGCGTCATATACACGTGTTTGTCACGTGTAGAAGATGTGTTTTGAAGTCCCTCACATAGTGAATGTATTTGACCATAATGCTTTGAAGTCCCTCAATGTAGGTTTTGATTCAAGGACCATCGAGACTTGATCTTGAATTGGGTTAGAAGTTTCTTCAAGGGTTGTCGAGGCTTGGTCTTGAACGAAACGGTACCACGAGGAGCTCCACATGGTGGGTGATCTTCAACTTTGGTGGCATGTAAAATCCCGTTCCTAGATTTCACTGTTATAATCTACGTATTTGTATTATTTTTCGGGAATTTATATTAATTTATTTGAATTTAGATTTTAATTAAACTAGTTACGAAGTTTGAAGTTTGGAAATTAGTTATTTAAAATCCAAAGGCCTTTCGAGGTCACAATTTATATTTTCAATTAGAACTCGATCTCACGAACGCATAGGCGCAAACCGTTTGTGAAATGGAGCTATAACGAAGGAGTTATTAACGTTTAAAGGTAAGGACATTTTAGTAATTTTCCTTCAATCTAGAAGCCTTCAGATCTGTTGGATCAGGATGAGAGGAGATGGCACCACGTGTGTGGCCAGGATAAAGAGTTGAGGAGAGAAAGGAGAGAGATGGATGGAAGGAAAGAAAAAGAAAATGAGGGGAGGGAGAGGGCTCGACCAATCAGAGAAAAGGGGGAGGCGGAGTGCCCAATGGGGGAGAGAGGAAATGAGTGGAAGGGAGAGAGGAGAGACTCACCGGATCAGTTTGTCCGATTTCCTTCTTCGACATGACGGAATTGATGAATTCTGACGGCTTTTTCTCCGATGAAGCAAGGCAATCCTCCACTTGGAAAACATTCATCAACTTTCCCTATTCCATTCCCACCCAAAATTAGAAGAAATTTGGTTGTAGTTTGGTGAAAAACCCACCGTGGGTGGCGTGAAAAACCCTTGCCAAGATCCACCATTTCTGAAATGTCCTCTTCCAATTACCACCACCATTAGACCCCCCCCCCCTTGAGGCCTAAAACAAAGGCCAAACAACTGTAGGGGCGGCAAAGCACCGAAGGGTTTTTCACGAAAAACGAAAAGTTTAAAAAAAATTGAAACTTTAAAACGTAATTTTGGGGGTCAAAACGACCTCGAGTCACGGAGATCCATCATATGTCATAGCTAATCTATGGTTTGAAATCAGAATAATGAAAAAAAAGATATCTCGGTAACGAAAAGTATAGGGCCTGTATTGGCGAGATCCAACGATGAACAGCCACCTGTTAGTGTTTGTAAAATAGGCCACAACATAAATAAAAAATAAATAAATCGGGCAACTTCAAACTAATCTGAATTGTTAAATATCTTAAGAGTTAGGTTTAGATTTTACGAGTTAAGTTTATGTACTAGAGATGTTCAACTCCATCAAGTTTCGAACTTAATATGAAATGTGAGGACATGGCGAGCTTAAGTATGTGATTTTACAATGCCCAACTTGCTCAAATCATTGACATTGAAGTAAAAGAAAAAAATGGACAACAAAATTATAGTCTTCGGAATCAGTGGATTAGGTCAAAAAATGTTTCTTCTTCTTTCCGAAAAGAAAACAACAAATGTCAATAGTGCTGTCAATTATTTCACTTGAAAATTGAAGACATACGGAAACCAGCGTCTGGAAGCATATTTGTTTGACTCTAAACTTATCATAACCGTATAGATAATTGCAAAAACAATGTAAGACTGTATATGTGTGTGTGGGGTACAAAGCAACCAATATTTTTTTTAGTACAAACAATATTTTACATTACATCTACATGAAGAGGAAAGGGGAGGATTTGAACCCATAAGACATTGGATTGAAGATAAAAACCTTAACTATCAGAACAGTCCACCATTTACAAAACAACCAATTATTTATGAAGAAAACAACTCAACAATGAATAACTATTAAGAAATTTTATCACTCCAAGCCAATGCACTAGTGACATTTCGTTTATATATGCACAGAATCAATACGATTATACACAACATTTTATGCTGCCTCAGCATTGTCAACAAGCTACACATTTGAAACAGAATACTTCAGTAGCTGTTGAAATTTAGGATAAAATCAGCCATAGGATTAGGGTCTTAAGACTATTTTGCCTATAATATTCCATTTACCGTCATGGTTTTTCTCAATGTATGGTTGGAAACCCAAGACGTTGAATTATTGTAGGGATTTAATTGCACGTATAATAGGCCAAATTGAAGGGAATATTTCAATATAGAAGAAGTCAGAATTAGGTACAACCGGGTTGTTTTTTACAAGTTTCCGCATATGTTGACAAAGATTGAGAATGAAAAGATCAACTTTTTATTTTTTATTTTCTAATGGACAAGATTAAGATCGAATTATTGATTAATGAAATGGATCAGAACCAAAATAATTAGTAAGGTTGAGAGCTTTGGCTTATTGCATCGTTCTTTTTAAGTTGTGCATGTGATCATCCTAAATTATTGGCCTCACAATTCACTTTATACCTCAATATTTTACTACAACAAATGAACTCAAATAGTAAAATTGTGTTATCTGTTGTCATGCACACAAAAATCCTAAACCACAACCCCCCCCCCTTAAAAAAACCAAAAAAAAAAAGAAAAAAACTGAAATGAAATAAGGATGACCAACAAGTGGCAAATGGTCCTCATTGGATGGTAATTAAACAGTCAAGCATGATGTAAGTTAGGGAGACCCACAGAGGACTTAATGAAAAAATAAACGATGATGTGCCCGTCAACTCATTGTGGTAGTCCATGATCCCTCGTACTTTTTTCCTCATCGGTGACCCCAAACACTTCACAGCCTCACATTCTCACAAACACTTTATCTGTAGCAACAATAATTGAAGAAAATAAACTTGGAAATGTGGAGTGAATCAATTGTTGGTTAGTTGTGATGTCGGTTTACTTATTGGGACCGTATATTTAGATTATATTTTATAAATTATATGACGTGATTATTAATAATTAAATTATTATTTAAGTATTAATTAACATATTTATTTTTTATTAAATAACATATTACATAATTTACAAATTTGATCTAAAAATTAATTTACTTAGCATTGTGCTGTAGCTATACACAACATGCATGTCACCGCCCCATTTGAATCTCCGAGTCTCTCTCATTGAACAGACTATGTTATAAATTATTTAAATACTTTTAAGTTAGGATATTAATAAAGTTTTATGGGTATGTGTGCGGTTGACTGTGTTACAAAACTGCCTCCCATATTTTACTATTCATATCTTATGCGAGGAGTGTGGTGTAGACTAGGACGGGACTTACCTGGTGCGTGTCACGACTCACATTTTTCATGAACCTTGACTACCACATCATGTGTCACATTGTGTCTCATGCGTTTATTAGTTTTAACTAATTAGTAGGTATGCATTAGAGTTTTGTTAAGATTACGGGATACTATCAATCGCAAATGAATTTAAGTCCCATAATAAAAATGTCTTTTAATTATTTACGATTATTCATGCGTGTGTTATAAACTATCGTGAATTTTTATTGTTTGGTAAATAGCACTTTAACAACTCAATTTGACAAGTGATAACTTAATTTGAAGCCTGTTGTGAACATGAACAAAATTTGAAATCAAAGTGCCAATGCTCTTTTACTTTTTGAAAATTTGCAAACTCTTAAGTAACGATGAAAACATATATATAGTGCTACGACATATTTGCTAAACTCATCAGTAGCTGGTCTTGAAAGGCTTGTAGATCTTGAGATCACTAATCACACCAGCAATTGATCCAGCAGCAGCTGCTATGGTGATTATAAGGCAAGCACCACTCAAGGTTTGGAGGCAAAGCCATCTTGTGCTCCACTTTGGTATCCTCTTTTGAGCAATATACATCTCCACAGGGAAGTATACTGTGAGCGGCCAAAATCCTAGAGCCCCTAGAAGTCCAACAACATCATTGAAAAATGGCAGGATCATGGAGATCACAGTGGTGACAATCACAAAAGATGTCCTCCATACCAGTCTGAAGAGGTTGAGATTGTAAGAACCGAAAACTGGGAGTCGGAATTTGATGTCTTTGGTGATGAACTGGCTGTGCGGGTACTTTTCTTTTACTGTTTTCTCAACAAATGCATAGAGGGGTTGGACAAACACTTGGTAAGCACCAACAAGGTGGATGACAATGGCGGCGTTCGCTATGTCGATGAGCCAGTAGGGGTTGAAGAAGCCAAAACCAGTGAGGAGGTTTCCAGGGGATGAGTCTCCAAAAGCGGCGTAGCCCATGCAACCACACAACATGTAGAAAAGGGTTGTGGTAGCCACACTGACTAAAGTTGCCTTCTTCATTGTCTTGGCTTCGGATGGCGGGGATTTTACCGTGTCCTGAATTTCAATGAGGATGAGAGAATATGAGTAGGCAAAAGCTATGTCCCCAAGTGCTTGGAAGCTCCTCCATATTTTTTGTGTTTCAGTTACTGCTCCAATGTCTATTCCAGTCATACTTCCTTTGATAGTTCCAGTTTCTGGTAATTGACAAGCAAAAAATCCCAAGTCAAGTAACATGTTTTAATCCTAAAAACAAGCAATGTAACCGTAAATATATATCGACTGTCTGTTTTTTAACAAAGAACGAACATCACTTCCATAGTCGGACTAATAACTATTAATTTGTACCTACGACTTTGGCGATTCCGAGGCCAAGTCCGATGGAGGAATAAGTGAAGGACATGACCGCAGCAACAATGGAGAGCCACCACAACTGATCGAAGTCTGGAATTTGAGAGAATATGATTTCTGCTACCCCAAAAGCGATCATGTAAGGATTGCTGTTTACATGGCATGGTGCTGTGTCACCATTCTTGTAGAAACAATTAGACCTCTTAATTGCCCTGTTTAATAATTTTTAAAAAAACAAAAACCCAATTAGCCAAAAGAAGATTTAAATTTATCATCATCGTAATATATAATTAAAATCCCCATGTTATTAAGTTAGATAACTTACACCATGCTTATGGATGATGCTATAGTGTATCCAATGGCAACTCCAAAAAGATTCAAGTACTGAACAAACCCACAAATTTTCACCTTGAAACCACCTGAAAAATTGAAATTAAAAGAATAAAAAAAAAAATTGAGCTTTAGAAATTTTGATCAAAATTCTCAAACTTTTTTCATATGGGCAAAAAGTACTTAAAAAAAGGTTAAAGAAATTTACCAAGGTTGGATCGGACGGCATTGGTGTAAGTATAGTTTCTTTTTCCAGTGACAGGATCGCCGGAACGATAGCAGGCAGAGAGAAGAGTTGAAGTGTAGTAAGTGACAAAGGAGAATAAGAGCATCACAGCAGGACCAGCAACCCATCCTAGCTGAGCTACTGCCCAAGCCAAGGACAAAACTCCAGACCCAATTACCGCAGTAATAATATGAGCACTTGCAGTCCATACAGTTCCTGGTAAATAAGCAACACGAAGATCAGTAACAATAAAACTCACTACCCTAGCCAACCGGCCTAACCTACATCTGATTCGCGAACATAATAGAACATGAATAAAGTGTTAGAGAAGTGAAATTTACCAGTTCTTTTAAGACGGCCGTCGTCGTCATAGCACTTGGAGCCTACTTCTGGAGGCATAGGGACTGAGAGTTCAAAACCTTGACGGGGGTTAATCTGGTTATCACCCATCTTACTCATAAAGTTAACCAAAACCCTAGTCTATATATATATATTAAAGATAGAGAAGAGAAAGTTGATGGTTCTTGTTCTTTAATGGGTTATTGCCAAGTTACGAGCTTGTTCAAATCTCACTGCTATCGGACACAGATTTTTGACACACACCCCAAGAATTACAGAAACCCAGATGATCTTTCCGCAAGTAAAAAGATGGGTTGGATTCAATAGACTGAAAAATTGTAAGAGAATTGAAAACCCAGAAGAAGTCGGAATTGAATTTTTGGGGTGGTGAAGAAGGAATGGCGAGTGGGGTTTATATACAAGTTTTGAGGGAGGGAAGTCATGCCCACGCGCACGTCAACGACCAATACAAGTTTTGTCCGTGTGACCAAACGCACCTTCAACCAAAACTCCAACTTGACTCAAAAAGATTTTCAAAATCTCTCCCAACCTTTGATATTTTACTTACTGTGTGACCCATCAAAGACCACTTCGTCTAGCCATCTCCAACCGAAGGCTAGCTAAAGAGCTTGTTTTAACCCTTTAGTCCTTTAAAAAATTAATATTTTATTGAACAGTACAGGGTCATATTTGCTTCCATCTCCAACCGAAGGTCATAGGGCTCGTTTTAGCTATGTCACAAAAAAACCATCTCCAACCGAGGGTCAAAGGGCCATAGGGCCAAACATAATTTATTATTTAAATTTAATGTTGTTTCATATTGTTTAATGTTGTTTCATGTTACTTAATTTAATTTAATGTTGTATAATGGCTTAGGGAAGTTATAGGGAAAAAATAGAATTTTAAAAAAATTTGTAATTAAAAAAAAAAAAAAAAAAAACTTGTAAAAAAAAAAAATCAAAAATAGCGGCTAGCTAATGTCAACTAGCCATTGGATTCAAAAATTTGTTTAAGAATTCATGTCGGATATAACCGACATGATTAATAACAATGTTGTCAGTTATATCCGACAGCAATTCTTAAATTTCTGGCCAGCCCGAGGCTGGTTGGCTGGCTGGATTGGGCCAACCCTTTGGCTCTTTCAGATTTCGTGGGGCCCACAAGCCCTCTGGCCTAACCTTCAGTTAGAGACTATTTTCGGACTATTTTCGGACTATTTTCGGCCTTCTGACCCTCTGGACCTTTTGGTTGGAGATTGCCTCACTGCCTTCCTTTTCAACATCAAGACGTAAATTTCATTTTGTTCCAAACAGCCACGACCCACCTCAGTAAGAGCCACCGTCTTGAGTTACCCTAATTTTGTAACAGTTAGACCAAGTTTTCACTTAATCATTAGAGTAAGGATTGATCAGTACTCGTTGCAAATCTATAGTACTTTGATAATTAGTTCATATGTGGTCGGTGTTTAACTGTCATTAGAAGCACTCGTACATAATTAGTGGAAGTATCACGGCTCACGTAGTATTACATGTGACCAGGACAGTTATTACACTAGGAGACATAGTGGGGGTACTTATATAAGGAGAGATTAGTGAAAATTGTGATAAGATTTCTTTCAATTAAAACTGGAAAGTGATTCTCCCTTCTTTTAATCTCCCTCTCCTTTTAATCTCTCTCTCCTTCCATCCTCTCATATTTAAACGATCACCATTAAATCACTTGAACATTTTGTTTTGAATTTTTTATATAGAGAAAAAGAAGAAGAAAAAAAAAGTGTTTGGGGAGGGGAGGTAGTGTAACATCCCACATCGCCCAAGAGAGTGGATCCTATAAGCCTTATATGTATATTCTCATCTCTACCTAGCATAAGGCCTTTTGAGAGCTCACTGGCTTCGAGTTCCATCAGAATTCCAAAGTTAAGCGAGTTCACGCGAGAGCAATCCCAAGATGTGTAACCCACTGGGAAGTTCTCGTGTGAGTTCCCAGAAACAAAACCGTGAGGGCGTGGTCGGGGCCCAAAGCAGACAATATCGTGCTACGGTGGAGTCTAGTCTGGGATGTGGTGGGGGCCCGGGCCGGGATGTGTCAATTTGGCATCAGAGTCAATCTCTGGCCGGATGTGTGCCGACGAGGACGTCGAGGCCCTAAGGGGGTGGATTGTAACTTCACACATCGCCTAGGGAAGTGGATTCTGTAAGCGTTATATGTGTATTCTCATCTCTACCTAGCACAAGGCTTTTTGGTAGCTCACTAGCTTTGGGTTCCATCGGAACTCCAAAGTTAAGCAAGTTCGCGCGAGAGCAATCCCAGGATGGATGACCCACTGGGAAGTTCTCATGTGAGTAGTTTGATTTTTTTTTTTTTCAATTAAATTGTTTTATTTTAAAATCTTAATTAGAAAGGGGTATTTTTAGGATTAGAAAATTTCATTCTAATCCTTGACAAATATGACTTTTAGATTAAAACTATGAGTAAGATTAAAATATAATTTTAGTCCATTGATACATTAATAACCTCATTTATTAATTACATTTGCATTTTTTAATTATTTCTCTTTTTCTTCCTAATTTTAATGTAATAATTTGATTTCATTAGAATTATAATTTTCATTTCATTTATTGTCACATCCCGGCCCGAGACGGATCACTTCCCGGGCCCGCTCCACCACCGTAGCACGATATTGTCCGCTTTGGGCTTACCATTCCCTCACGGTTTTGTTTTTGGGAACTCACGAGCAACTTCCCAGTGGGTCACCCATCATGGGATTGCTCTAGCCCCCTTCTCGCTTAACTTCAGAGTTCCTACGGAACCCGAAGCCAGTGAGCTCCCAAAAGGCCTCGTGCTAGGTAGGGATGGGAATATACATATAAGGATCACTCCCCTAGGCGATGTGGGATGTCACATTTTATCGTATTATATTTTGTTGTAAACATTTAGATAAACTAATTTTTGTTATACAATATATTTCAATGTACTTTGTCTTCTTCATTTAGGTACATTAAATTCATTATAATACATTTCGGTGCATATATTTAGGTATACATATTTCGTTACATACATTTCGATACAAACATTTAGGTACATTAATTCAATATAATACATTTCTGTACATACATTTCGGTACTAGCATTTTGGTGCATACATTTCGGTATACATATTTAGGTACATTAATTTAATATAATATATTTTGGTGCATATATTTCAGTACATAGATTTCAGTCCTAACATTTAAATACATTACTTCAATATAATACATTTTGATACATACATTAGGTACATTAATTGAGTCTTTCAAGTTTGAAAAATGTTAAATAAAATTAATAAATTTAAAAAAAAAAAAAAACTTTATTTTGGTAAAAAAATAATTAAAATTTGTATATTAATACATTTAAATATTTAATGGGAGACATTAAATAAAATGCACATTAATTATTTCAAATTAAGGACACATCAAGGGACTATAATCAATATGTAATCTAACATCAAGTTTATTTTAAATTTCAATCTTCTTGAATGATTAAAATTAAAAAACTTCTTTTAGGATTATGAATGATTCACTTTTTTTGTATCTTGCTTTATATACATTTTTTTATGAAATTGTTATCGGCAAACTAAAAATCTCAATGTAAACTCACTCTAAACTTTTTATAATTAAAAAGAAAAAAAAAATATATATATATATATATATTTGTGAGGAGTTGAGAATGAAATTTTTAGAGTTGTACTCACAATTTTCTATTTAAAAATTATTTTATTTTAAAATCCTAATTACAGATGGGTATTTTTTTAATTATAAATGATTTACCTTTTTTACTTTTTGGCTTTACATAAATACATACATTCCAACTACTCATTTTTACCCTTGTTATGATTGTATTTGTTTTCTTTACATAAAGGTGACATTGTCAAAATAGTAGATCGATACTGTTTAGTTTCCGTCCTAACAAACTCAGTCCTTAATAACCTTTTTTTTTTTAGAAAAACTAATAAAAAAAAAAACTTAGAAACTTTGAGTTTTAACGATAAGGACAAAATAAAGGGTAAAATGAATAGTACCAACATTAATTCTTTAGTGCAAAAATATGGTTTTTCATTAAAGTGAACAGTACCGAAAGTTTTTCGTTAAAGTTCCCTATTTTTTTTTAGTGTTTGGTGATATCATGTTGATATTTGGTTATCAACATAGTGTATCGGATAGTTGTTAATTGAACGATCGCCATAGGAAGCAGCCAATTAATTAGTCTTAACAATTGATGTGACCATTTTAAGAGTTACGGTCAATTAGTGATGGATTATTTTTCTTTTATTTTTTTGATCAAATAATATTATCTACACTAAAGGGATTGTGGAGTAAGCTAAACCTCACAATGTCACTACTATAATAAACACTTTGCGCGATCAGGGAGTATTTGTCGCGCAAAGAATTTTTAGTTCGCATAACACCTATGGGGACGCGGAATTCGTTGCGCAAAGGTCATGAAAAAAGACCTTGCCCTATGAAGAGGCCAAATTCGTCGCGTGGCATAACCTTTGCGCAACTTTTTACTACTTATTGCAAGAAATGTCTACAGATGAAGGCTTTCGTCGCACAATATAAGAGGGTACAAGTGGGCTTTGTGACGAGAAATTTATGGGGACGTCTCTAGTTCGCCTCAAAAATGTTTGCACGATGGATGAAGCAAAATTTTGAATTAATTCAATGACATTCATTTTGTCGCCTTAATGATTGTGCAAGGAAACGGTTATGACGCACGTGGTTTTGCACGACAACTTATTTTCGTAGCGCAAGTGTAATTTAAAAAAAAATTAATAAATAGAATTTAAAAAAATACATATTTAATACAATTGGCAAAAAAAAAAAAATTGAATAGAAATATAATTCATTTATAGTATAAATAAAAATGTACGTATAACTACAAAATTTAAAAAGAAAGCAGGAAAAAAACTAAGAAAAAATGCGGTGTAATCTACGGGCAAGTCATTCGAAGGTGCTTCGTAATCTTGCTGCTAGAAGGAGTTGGGGTTGGGGACGTGCTCAGGGATGGGGTCATAGTTCAACAGGTTTGATTGCTGGGTATGTTGGGGATGGAAGGGCTATGACGTTGGTGGTGCAGAAAAATCAGGGAGACAGATCCTGAAGGAACTGAGGGCCTATATGATCATGACATCTAAGTCTTGTACGATGTAAGCTTACTCCTCAGGCCAGCAACTTCTTGCATCAAACCTGTAACCTCGCCCTTCGACTGCAAGGATGAAGAGGCTCCACTCTCCCGCCGCCTGGCATTCCTTATCCCCTGGCAATATGTCATTGGCCTCCAACTGAAGGTCTGGTCTAAGGTCTCTGTAAGGATGTGAAACCTTGCATCCTCGGGGAGATCCACAGACTCGATCGGTGTGT